GTGTCCCCTGCATCGGCAGGCGGACTCTCAACCACTGCGCCACCAGGGAAGCCCTAGTGTCCTTTTTAATGTGACTATAGATTCGAATTTTATTGAAAGGGAGATGTACTATAGTATTGATTATGGACCTTGATCTTGCAATATCCTGTTATTCCAATTTCAGACAATCACAGCATTCTCAGTTTTCTATGGAAAATTAATTTCAAAATTGTTGAAGTAAAAACCTAAAAATCTACCATGGGATATTTTTAAAAGAAGGCTATATCACAAAAATTGAAGAAAAAACTCAAAAGTTTAAACCCACCATAGTGTAGGCCATGCACTATGAGTGGCAGAGAAAAAAAGATACTCATATAACTTTGAAGTTTGCATGAAGTGAAATGTATGGCAATTGAATAAAAACTAGAACTTGGAAAAATAACAAACTGATCTTCCAATTAAGTACCTAAATAAACCTGTAGTCAGAAAGCCTTTAGAAACTGTTTATGATTAGACATGTGTGGTAGATATTTTGTCCTAGATTCAAAGAATGTTTTGTATGTTTCAGAAGAGAAGTACTGATCTCTTTGCTGTTCAGTGTGTTTATTGATTGATCGTGGGCCCCACGCTGCCCTCACCCTGGTACCATCGCTCTCTCCTGGCAGAGGGAAGCCCAAGGCCATGGAAGGCAAACTCCTCTTGCCAGCACAGGCAGTTGTGATCGAGCCTAAGCTTGTCCTTCTGACTCTGCTGTGCTCGCGGTGGAGGTGGCTTGGGGTGGGGTGGGAGACAAAGTCTCCTTGGGGAGGCCGATCCACATGTCCCCGGTAGAGAAGCACTGCATTCTTCCAGCGCAGGAAGAGTTGGAGAGGAACTGTCGTAAGGCACTTAGGCCAGTATCAGATGTGATACTTTTCTAGAAGGCGACTCAGTTGGGATCTGTTTAATTCTTAGTGGACAAGAATTTGCATTTTGGATTAGCCCAGTGCTCTTCTGCCTAAAGAGTAGAGGGATCAGGCTTTAAAAAGCAACACATTTAGAAAAAATGCCTTGCTTTTCATAATATGCATATCCTCAGTGCTTCCCCCCAAGGAATACCTATCTTTTTTTGTTTTAACTTTTTATTTTATATTGGAGTGTAATTGATTAACAACGTTGTGTTAGTTTCAGGTGTACAGAAAAGTGATTTGTATATATACATATACAGATATCTATTCTTTTTCAAATATTTTTCCCATAATATTGAGCAGACTTCCCTGTGCTATACAGTAGGTCCTTGTTGCTTATGGAATACCTATCTTGTTGCTGTAGTTTACATTAGGAGTTAATGTTTTTAATTGTACAATAAAAATTTGGGGGAGAAATAGTTCAGGGCCAGTGTAAATGGGGTATGTTTTTACCAGTGGATGCATTCTGTATAACTTCAAACTAGAAGGTCAGCTTTGTTAGCATATTTTTTGACACACTAAAAAATTAACACAATTTCCTAAGATTTTTAGGGTATTAACAGTTATAACTTTGTGTATCAGTTTCGTCTCCACAAATCATAGTCAGTTAGATTTTTAAATATTAATAACCATATATGGAAATACTTACATTTCTGTTCTTTTGCTTTTGTAAGTTAATGACTAGTGATTTAAATCTCTTTGTTTTCTCTTCAAGGTTCGAAAACCAGGAAGAGAGTCCAGAAGTAAATCAAATACTGTGAACCAGTTTTTCTTTTCTTCCTTTCATTTGACTCTTTCCTCCTTTCATTTGACTTTATCCTCTTTTTCTGTATTGTGTTTTATTTTCATGTGAGTCTTGTGGAGTGGGGGAAACAATGAAGTACCTATGTCTTTGAAAAGCAGACTTTTTTTTATTAAATACTTTGTAGAATTTACTAAAGCCTAATTTATAAAATTTCACAATATTAAGGTTATACCCTTTAAGCTGTCCCATGCTGTGTGTTTGAGGTTCTGGGGTACATATAAGAAATATTACTATGACATGCACTTTTCTAATCGTTGTATATTTCCTAGAGTGTATAAAATGTTTGGCAAAATCATTACTTTTAAGGAAATACACAACTTAAAATAAAGGTCTCTTTTTGCTTGATACAAATTTGTTGTGGGCATAAGATTTGTTTTGTATTGATTTTGCTCAGTTCCACAAGCATTTATTAAGCACCTGCTCTAGGAAATGAGAGGTACAAAGAAGAGAAAAGATTATGAAAGAAAAAATGGAGTAGTAAGTATATCTGTGAGAGATGAAATACATGTATTTGAAAGATTACATGAGAATTATGTAAGTATGCAAGCTGTGTGATAAGAAAACAGGCAATTATCAAGTGGTGGCCAGATCAAAGATTTTTTTAGACTGGTTTCCTTTAAGGAAATACTGTCATATATATATATATATATATATATATTTGGCTTATTGTTCATTCACAGGAGATTATTTTTCTTCCAAGTTTTTTTTTTTTTTTTTGGTATAATATTTGTACAGTAAACCAAGCACTTTAGAGTTTTAGTGATTAGGAATTTTAAAATATAGACTATATAGTTGCCTTGGGAACAAAAGCTTGGAATTTCAACATGAACAATTTCAAGATTTACTTTGTTAGAGAAATTGGGATTGGATTGGATTTTCTAGGGGTGGTACACCTTACCACTTGTAGCCTGTACAATGTTTTTAGATGGTGTATAGGTACACTTTTATTTAAATATGTAAGCATTTATTTAATATGTATTTAGAATATAAATAGCACATTAAACTGGTGATTTCTCTATTGCTTAGGACAAGCCTAAAGTAGGTATTTCAGTTTTTAGAAAAGCAAGTTGATTTGAAGAAAATATTAAGTAAATAATTGTACAGGTGGATGTAGACATGTCAGAAGCTGTCAGGGTTGTACCAGTTTTGAGCGACTCTGAACCAAAACAGAGGCTTTACCTTTTGGCTCTCTGATGTGGTATTTAGTTGTCACACGAAGCATTTATCACTGTAGTGGTCGGATACTGAAAAACGCAAAGCAGATCTGCCGACTTTCCTTTGAAGGTTAATCTTTTAAATGCCTCCTGAAGTTCTAGGGCTCTGTGACTTTACAGAATAGAGAACTAGATTTTGGGCAGAGCCTCCTCCTGTTTTCTGTAGAATGTTGGATTTTAGTCCTCATCAGTGTTACGGTCCCAAGTTTATTTGTAACATCTAAATCAACTCTCAAGTTCTGTTTCAAACACATTGACGCTTAAAATAGGATAAAATGTGTGTGGTGTGTTTTTGTGTATGTGCCTTAGCCTTTTTTATTTTTCAAAACACAAAAACATAGCAAAACCTGTTGGTTAAATATTAAGAAAACAAACATTTCCTCACATATTGTTTTTAATAAGTGCTGGCATTTTCTCAAATGTTGCTCTATTGGCAGGGCTGCAGAAATGAAAAACTAATAGCCATAGTAGCCAGTTTGATTCATCGGCTGCATCCCCTTGTTCTGCTGTTCTGTTCCCTACCTTACTCTGGTTTTTCTTACCCCCCCCTTATTTGAAAGAAGCGGTTTAATAACCTCCTTGTCAGTCAGAGTTATGCTTTTTCCCTTGCCTTTTTCAGTTCCATACTTATTTATTTTGTGTTGTTTTTGTTTTCTTTCCAATCCCTGCATCCAGTGGGTTTGCCTTTCTTTATCCTCCCTTCACAATCCAACGTCCTTATGGACGTGTTCCTGGCCCCATGTGTCCTGCCTTCTCTGCCATTTTCTTAGGTCCTTAGTGAGCTTAGGGTTTCTAGTCTGTTGAGGACCCACACCTGTGCAGGCTCCTGTCCTTCAGACAATGGGAGCTACATGTGTGCTATATTTTCTAGACAGCAGCTGGTAAATCTTTGATAACCATCTAAGCCCTGATGTAAAATATCTTCTGGGTGTTATTCAATAGTGATCTTTTAAGACAAATCAAACACTAATAGGCCAGGGCAACCAAACCCCAATTATTTCTTTGAATTACTAACTTAAATGTGCATATCAAGAGCTAAGTTGCATAGCAATGAATTAGTGGTGGAAATATAAATACATAATATGTATTTGTGTGCGTGTGTGTGTGTGTGTGTGTGCTTGTTTATCCTTTAAAACTATATTCATCTGGTCATCAAAGTGTATTAATAGTACTTGATCATTGTAGAAAATTTAGAATATACAGAAAAGTGTCAAAAGACGGACTAGCCATATTACTACCACCCACAGACAACCACTTTCTTCCAGCCTTCTCTATGCATTTTTATCTTTAAATATCATACTTTATAAAAGCTTTATATTCTGCTCTTTAAAGTGAACATTAAATACTTGCCATGTTATTACAAATACTTCATAAATATAGTTTTTATGTTTCTATAATATTTTTTCTTATGGATTCGTGATACTTTCATGACCATTTCCCTAATGTTGGAGGTTTAAGTTGTTTTCAGTATTGGGATATTATAAACAATATTCTTGAATAAAATTGGGCATAAGTCTTTGTCTACATGTACAAATATTTCCTTAGATTTTTCAAAAGGGAACCATTGGGTGAAAGACTATGAAAATGGAAGGTTATTGGTGCACATTATCAACTTGCTTTGCAAAACTCCGTCAGTTAACACTTTACCCAGAAATCAGTGCTCAACTTATATTTTTGTCAACCTTGAGTGCTACTAATTTTTATAATTTGATAGGGTAAATTTTTTTTAATTGCTAGTGAACCTGAGCAATTTTTTATTTTTAAACAAATCATTCTATTTGCTTTTTGATGTGTGTGTTTGTACTGTTTGTATAGTAATGATCTTAACCTCTGTCATGTTTGTTGCTGACTTTTTCCAGTTTATTTTTTGTTGACGATTTAATTTTTATCGCTTTAATCTGTTGATCTTTTTCACTGTAATTTCTGCTACTGTTTTAAAATATTTCCCATCCTGATATCAGAAATATTTACCAGGGCTTTTTCTAGGATTTGTGTTTTAATGCTTCTGAATTTTTAATCCATATGAAATTTAACGTGGTGTATGTATGCCATGAAGTAAGGATCATAGTGGATTGTTTTCCAAATAGCTAACCAGTAGCTCCATTACCATTTGTTAAATAAATTCTCTTCCTCACCCACTTTCCATCCTGGTTTGTGTTGCCTGTTTTATTACAGATTAAGTTCTTATACCAGGGCCTGTTTCTGACTGTCAGTTCAATTTCATTGATCTGTCTGTTCTTATGCCAGCACCACACTGATTTAATTAGTGCCATTTTACTTATTAATTCTTATTTACTGCCCAAACCACATTAACAGAAATCAAAATGAAAGGGAAAATTCATTTATGATCTCACCACCACCACAAAAATCAAACGCTTGTCCTTTGGCTTTGTTATTTTTCAGTCCTGTTTCATGCTTACATAATTTTTCCTAGTTGTAATAGTTACATTGGTGAACTTTTGCGTATGTGTCTTTTGAAGTTCCACAGTTTATTCTATATATACCCCTGATTCATTAAGCTCTACTGGTATAAAGAATACAAGACGCACTGAAGAAGTGATTCTGTGCAGTATGCTGCTGACCAGATGGTTTAGGCAGCTCTCTTTATCACTTGAGTGTTACTTTACAAATAAAATGCTTACTATTTTCATTGTACTAAGGATGTGTTATTCATATATTGGTGAGTTTTATTATAGCAGTAGTATTTTGCAACTTATGAGTAGTGTTCCTGAATTTTTGTAATTTTGGCTCGTCATGAAGTTACCTGTAAAATTTCTCCATTAAGCAAGTACAGTTTTATTTATGAACCACTGCAGAGGATCTTCAAAAAACTCTTTCCTCTTTTTGGCTTGGTTAAGTCAACCATTTTTTAGGGGTCTGAGTTATCAGTGGAGTTGGTCTATAAGATAATCTTTGTGCCTGGAGTACGGAGGCAGGAAGGAATATTAAAGGCACAGATCCTGCCTTGGGTCGGGGGGCTGGGGAGGAAGTGGGACAGTAGTCTGAAATCTGTTTCCATTTTTCTGTAGGTTGTCTTTCTGCTTCTGGTATCTTTTAGAAGCAAGTGAAAAGTGACCACAGTTATGTAAATGAAGACCTTATAACACCTGGACTACAGGTTGTTTAATAACTAAAAAATTGCTGTATTTAATATTTTTTCTGACCTTGACATAAAAAGCACAGTACAGAAGTTCATGGTGCGCCTTCTCGGTATAATTCTCAGATGTGAGAGATACCTCAAACTTTCCTTATAAGGGTCGGATATGAACTTAAAAGAATAAAGCGACTGAAGGGTCTGCTAAAAGCCTGAACGCTGGAGAGTTCTAGGGCAGTATGTATCCAGGGAAGGTTACAATTGGAAGTGCATGTTGATTCTGTTATATTGCCTGGCCAAGAGAGTCATGGTTTCCGTCTTGAACTTTGCTAGATAGAGGAATGTGCCTTTAAGATCCTTAAGAAGACTTTCATGTTCTAAACATTTTAGTTCTCCCCCTGCAACCCCCCAAAAAAGAGCTTTTGTTATTTTGTCTTCCTTTATTTCATTAACTCTTGTAGAACATTTTGGGGCTGACGCACGAGTCAGTCCAGCCGGAGGAGTGTTGTGCACATCCTAACCTGCTTAACACTGGTTGCAAAGGTGTGTGATGTGGTCCCTGTGTAACACCCCATCGCCTCCTACCAGCCCCCTGAAGTTCTTTTTTTTTTTCCAGTTTTATTGAGAAATAATTGACAAACATCACTGTATAAGTTTAATAAGGTGAATAGCAAATTTCTCCTGTAAAAATCCTTGGCAGATGTTTAAGACAAATATGTAACTTGCCCTATAATTTATAATTTAAAGAAGGATCATTTAGGGCTTCCCTGGTGGCGCAGTGGTTGAGAGTCCGCCTGCCGATGCAGGGGTTACAGGTTCATGCCCCGGTCCAGGAAGATCCTGCGTGCCGCAGAGCGGCTGGGCCCGTGAGCCATGGACGCTGAGCCTGTGCGTCCAGATCCTGTGCGCCGTAACGGGAGCGGCCAGGCCACAGCAGTGAGAGGCCCGCGTACCGCAAAAAAAAAAAAAAAAAAAAAAAAAAAAAAAAAAAAAAAAAAAAAAAAAAAAAAAAGAAGGATCATTTAGACATTTCTTAAGATATA